CAGTCTCTTCAGGGTAAAGGTCCCCACAAAAGCTGAAGAAACAACACGAGGCTGGAAGTAAGAGCCCTTACCGTTACATTGTTCTTTAGATGAAGTATGGGGGAAATTAGGCATAATTTGTTTTCAAAATTATTGCCAGTATATATTCTGACTAGTTTTTTGGTCTGGGTAATTCAGATTGATGCGTCTGATCTCCTGGAAGGCAATATATGTACCTATAGGCTAACGTCTGTGTCAGCGTAGATATAGTGACAATAACACGAGAAACCTGTGGAGGGATTCAACCTGAAAAAGATGAGGAAAATGTCGATGTTTCCAGCGAAGACCCAATTCGTCAGGAAGTTACTGTAGTAGCGGGAGTCGGGAAAATCCATGGTGATCTTGTATTCACTCAAGGCTCAAAATAACGGGAGATTAGGAGATAGATTTCCGGTAAAAATGACCGGTCAACTTGATTTTAGCTCGGTCAAAATCTGTTTTGATCGGACAGTGAAGCAAACTATTAGAAACTTGTTTCGATACATCATAGTTTCATGTTTTAATTCAGCAATCACATTGGAAGGCATGAAAATGTGGCCGCGCTCAAAACGACCGGTGAGGTAAAAAAGTGACCGGTCAACGGAAGCATTTTGGCCGATCATTGTCCGTTGAGCCCGGTCACTAGTATAAAAGCACATGTATTTTACCGACCCATGCTACTTTAATACTTTACTTGTATTTTTCAGCTAGTTGTATCCCCCTACATTTCCCCCTCGTAGCAACGTATGTTTAACAATCTCAGCAGCGCTTAACAATGGCTTTCGCTGTTCAGTTTATTTTTTAAGATCAGTGCTAGCTCGTCGTACACCTGGCTGTCAAGTTGTACTATTTTATGACTTGCGAATGAACTGATTGTACTTTACAACTTGTTAAGTGGCATTAAATCATGTTTAAGGAGGTGCTAAATAGTTTTTCATGTTTGACAGCTGTTGTACTCAGTGTTGTCTTCAAACAAAGCATGAAAATGACAAATTAAGGCAATTAGAACTGCGATAATCGATTATGTATTCAATTAGAGCCTTGACATTAAGTTTTTTTTAGCTACCAGACTTGTTACAAACCAAGAATTTGGAGTCTTGATCTCAAAATCAAATAATTTAAACTAACTTTATTTATACTGAATATCTAAACTATTCCCCCTAGAGGGGATCATTTCTCGTTCGGCCGATTTCCACGGACAGAATATTTTCCGAAAATATCGTTGTTAAAAATTGAACATTTTCAACTTCAAATGTTTTTCCGACGGAAAATTTGTGTCGGCCAATTACATTTTACAAAATTTCCTTTCTGTGGAAAATTTTCCTGAGTGGAAATGGCCCTTTGCTGGTCAGGGAAAATTTGTGTCGGCCAATTACATTTTACAAAATTTCCTTTCTGTGGAAAATTTTCCTGAGTGGAAATGGCCCTTTGCTGGTCAGGGCCATCTTTGGCAGGGTCAAAATGCATATTGCAGGAATCAAACTTGCGTCACAGACAGTAAGCCACACAATACATGCACTGAGCTACTATGCAACACATTATGATATCAAGAATGCCTGTTGCACTATATTGCCTGTGCTTGAGAGTTGATAAACAAAATCTAAGTCCGTAATAATAATCTTATTTTAATCTCAGGTATACCCCGAGGCTAAATAGTTAATATATGTTATTAGTATTCCTGCACTTAGTATTATCAACTCACTTTTGAGAAGCTATTAACATGCAAACCACAAACAAACATAGCAAGACAATTTACGTCGTAAGGTCTTTGTAGGTCAATCAAAAATATCTCAGCCTTGTATAGTCATATATATGTAGTCAAGGCTACTTCTCAAAGTTTCTCATACAAAGAAAGCATTAGAATTTGATAAAGATTGTCTAGCTCACATAAAAGAAGAAAGGAACCCGGATTAAAAGACTGAGTAAATTGTTTATCATTAGTGTTTGATCGTTGTTAAGGACGAGAAATAACCTGGATGCAATAATTGGATTGGAACTGGACGGAATTTGGAGTCGTGTCAACTAAACACAATCCACAAGATGTTTCGATATCCTTATTCACATGGGAATATATTTTACCATCTTGAAACAACAGTATGTTCTTATTGAACTTCTATATAGAAATAAGTTTAGCAATGACAGGGTTATCCAGGATATAAATATGATAATTTGCTTTTGGATTTTGGATTTTTGATGCAAAAAAATCCCTGAGTAATTTGACTAAAATACTTGCTTAAAATAATGCTCCCACAGTCACTCAAAAGTTTCAGTAAAATTACTCCAATATATGAGCAAATATACACGTTTTTGATATAGATTGACCTTACTGTCGGTGAATGGCTCTGGGTTAATTAGTTTACTCACTTCTTCGAGTAAAAATGTTTTACAGTGTCTCATCCAAGGGAACTATCTAGCTATAAAACTTAGAAATAAATCTATATCCGCTGCTTGTGGGAATAGAATAAGCTAGATCTTTAGAGTCCAGTCACAATGAGTCAAAACAAAGCCATGAATCCAGTCTTGTCAGTGTAGGGAGTGGCAAGAATAAGAAAGCTTTGGATTGATAGGGATACAACTGTACGTGAAAAATACAAGGAGAACTTGGACTTTTCGAGCGAAGGGCCACGTCAGGAAGTTAGTGATTACTGACCTTCCTGTGAAGAGCCTTCGGTTGATACGTCGAAGTTGTTCATGAATCCAGTCTTGGCTATGTTCCACGCGCCGTTCACAAGCTCAATATCATTGAAAGAGGTCGTGTAAAGTGCCATTAAGAACAAACAATGCATGTCCGCTAACATACCTAATATAACATCCTATAACTTATTCATCTTCAACGCTGTCACTGCTTCCAAGCTTTTAGTAATCGATTAACACAATATTTACTCTATATTAATAGCTACAACCACAAATTACATGAAATCGTTTTTTAATAAGAAAACAAAATTTTCGTGCAAAATTGCTTATTTTGTGTTGTTAAAGCTCTTTATACATCCTTGCCAGATATTTTATATTTACATGATTATCAGCAATTTTGAAATGAGAGTATTTTAAATTTGCACGAAATCTGTTTTATGTTCTTTTTTGCAACAAAAATTGTATAGTCTATAATAAATAAAGTTTTTAGGGTTGCTAGGATAGATTTTATTTAAAAAATACTCAAGTAGTGCATTACGAAATAAGTTAAATACAGAAAGTTCAAACAAAGTCCTTCATGGCTTCATCAAAGGTTTTAATCCCACTATTATTATTTTTTATTATTATTAGACTTCCTTTTCCTGTTAGAGCTGAGAAAATTTATTGATTAATGAACGTCTTTAATTTTAACTTTTATTTACTTCTATGTTACTTGTACTAGGTAGCTCTATCAGTTCTACGTTGTTCTCTCTATATAGTCATCTCTTATTGATCCAGTGTTACTGCAGGAGGAAACCTAAACTAAACTAACTTTATTTATACTGGATAGCTCTATCAGTTCTAAACTGTTCTTCCTAGAGGTCCAGTAAGGATCATCTCTTATTGATCCAGTGTTACTGCAGGAGGAAACCTAAACTAAACTAACTTTATTTATACTGGATAGCTCTATCAGTTCTAAACTGTTCTCCTTAGAGGTCCAGTAAGGCTCATCCCTTATTGTTCCAGTGTTACTAGAGGTCCAGTAAGAGTTGCCTCTTATTGATTCAGTGTTACTACAGAAGGAAAGAAATTGAACTCAGTTCACAGATCATATGAAAGGCACAAAGCACTAGGTCGAACTAAATTCTACTGACATGAAACAGTTTTTCTATTTTAATTTGCCTTAAACGGACACTGAAAATCTCTCCTTTCCAGATCTAGAACAAAATTAGGCTAGCAAACATATTTCTCTAGCTATACTGTAATTATGGCATTGTTTGGTTCCACCCACTTGCAAACCTATTGAAAACATACAAAACCATTCCCTAATTACGTTTCCGATTTGCGGTCATGGGAACGCCTTCACAAACAAAATAATAGATGCCTACCCACTCTGGCAGTTCCTAAATGGCAACGATATATCACTTTTTGACCAGCTATTAATCTCAACGGGCTGAAGTCTTTGATTTCCATTTATGGACCATGAGATTGGACGAGTATACAGCACGACGTATTTGCCTGTCTAGGGTATACTTCTTTGAAGAGGGTCATTAAACACCTCGACATATCAGAACAGGCTTTGGGCGCACAATCAAGGCGGGGTGTCTTAATTATCGATGTTTAAATGGATTTGTATACAGTGAAGGATTAGCAATCACTCACAGAAGAGTATCAGCAATTTGACATATGTGCGCAGCCAACTTCAGGCTAGCAGGTGTGTTGGGTTTGAATTGAATATATCAATCGATCACAAAGGAATCTCTTTGACAATTTCAAGTGGAAAAGCTTTCAGACGAACTGAAGTCAAAGCTTTTCAAAGGCAACATACAATTATGGTAGCGTATTGATACGTGGGCATGCAGCCAATCAGAGGGGCGTATTAAAATGCTGAGGCAATACTGATGATGTTTTGTTGAGTTTATTAGCAATCACTCGATAGTTTGCCTTAAACTGCTGCCACACAAACAGGGTCTTGCTTTTGGAAGAATCAGCCAAGAGCGCGAACGGAAAATTAGAAGATCGCGAAGCGTAATTAAGAGAAATCGAAGACCTTGATTCAGCCAAGATCTTGGATAGCACATTAGAGCATCGTGGAACGTCGTTAAGAACATTCGAATCAGCCAAATACAACAACGAAGAGTCTAACCATCAAATATGTCGATCTCTGCGCCAAGAGAAACACACAGTGCTTTTAAAATCCTAGACACAGAAATGGCTCATTTCACAGATCACCGCAGTGTAGCTCTGCCCAGCAATTTCTATACGCACGATAGCTGTATGTCTAGCTATCAACCAGGATTCAATCGTATTCCTTGGGATTTTGGAGTTTATGGAGTAGACCCTTATTATCAAGCCTTGTTCTCGTACAGAGGCTTCGCTGGTTCCCCTCCATTCTTCCCTCGCGCCTTCAAATCATTCTACGTGGACGAAGAAAAACCTAATCAATCCTACATCGGTCTAATTGGCCAAGCAATTATGAGCAGTCCCGATAAGAAGATGGTTCTCAGTGATATCTACAAATGGGTGCTAACTCACTACCCATATTTTCGCAACAAAGGTCCTGGGTGGAAAAATAGTGTACGACACAATCTCTCGCTCAATGATTGCTTTGTTAAAGCGGGTCGAAGCCCGAACGGGAAGGGAAATTATTGGGCCATTAATCCTGAGAACTACGAGGACTTTCGTAAAGGTGACTTCAGAAGGCGGCGAGCTCAGAGAAGGAATCGAAAATCAGGTCAAAATCTGGAAAGTCCAACAAATACTGACGATGTTACGAAAGGCGAACAAACCACGGCGATAAACGAAGACGAAGCATGCTTGGAAAAACAAATCACCTCAGAGCTCGATACAAATCGACTTACTCCAAAAGATGATAGCAAAGTACGAACATTTGATGTTGAAAATTTACTTCGTGTTGAAACTTCGGAATAAATACGCTTTTGTGGAGAACGAGACACTTCATTCTTAAAAAACAAAACAAAAAAAAACGAACAAACACGAACTATAGAAAATAATAGACAACCCTCACAGCAGACCAAACCCGAGTTTTGCAACTCAGTGTAAATATAAACCGACTGGTTCCTTTGAGGTTAAAAGTTGCTTAGAAAAGAATGAACAAACCCCAGCATCTTCTTTTATAAGGAAAGAACAAAACGTTGTATATTTTACAAACAGTTTGGAAGCTTACAAAGAGCTAAGAACACTGATGTAGCTGACGTAGCTTTAATTATGTATATATAATATGGGAATTTACATTAGGAAAAAAATGTTTAAATATTATTAATATATATCATAATGAATAGTTTATATTATCATGTAAAATAGAATGCGCAATAAAAATTCGTTGCTTATAAAATGTGTATAGTTTGTTATCTAAGACAGACGAAACGGATATTCTGCAAGCCAATAATCAACAGGACCCGTTCATCGTAATTGTGGAGTATATCTAGGATCAAACCTTGGCCCTTTCTTAATTTTCTCGGGATGCTGGTGACACAGTCAGTGTGTTAGTGCGTGTATCTTTCACTTCAACGAACGGGTTTCATTCCTGCAATATCTCTGCAGTTCGCTGGGAAAAAATATTGAAATTCGTACCATGAAATTTGTGATGGCATCACTATATCCATACTATCCATACTATAACCATAGTCTGGAAATTGCCATTAGTATGACAATTGGATTTCCATACTATTTGCAACTAAGATCTGTACTATTTTCATAGTAAGAATTTTGAAAAGAATTCCAATGATTGTCTTGAGTATAAATTCGTCTCAGGCACATATGCTAAGAGTCTGATCAAGGTCACAACTTGAAAACCCATATACAGTTTTGTTTGCTGTAAACCGATCATCGTATAACCTCAGTCCTATATATTTCCCATCGCCAAAATATATAAAATCAACCGCACAAACAGTACTTGTTTACGAAAAACCAACTTTGTATACGCCTGTATTTCCCGAGGGAAAAGCGGTTACATTAGAATCCCCGACATCCACAGAGGAAATTAAAGTAAAATTTGAACATGATTAAACTTCGTAATTAATCAGCGCTACCACTCCTACAATTGAGGTAGCATTTAAAAAACCCTGGAAATTTTTAACTATATCTTTTAATTTATATGCATTGCACAGCAGCAGTTTAAGCTTCAGTAACAAACTTTTTGCCAGAGAACATTTAATTGCTACATTATTGCAATTTCATAAGATATTTCGGTGAATGTTTAAAGTCAGATTGTTGGAGCCTTGCTTGTGTAATATCGTCTATCAGACTCCCGGGTGGATAATGGCCAGGAAAAATTTCATTATCTTTGACGGCTTTTTGCCGCCATCATATAGATTGTCTGCCGTTTAAAGCCTTACCTAACAGACAAATATTAAGCAAACGTTTACTCTGTCATTTGGCTTTGGGGTGCCATTTAAGTAAGGATATGTAGCAATTAGCAACGGACCACCCTGACATTACTGCTGTTGTAAAAAAATCATATTATGTCTCTTTCTCAGCTAACTAAGTCAAGCATGGTTAGATTATACAGAGGTATAGTCTAATCTATCTATCTATCTATCTAAATAAATTATTTATCTATATAGTACATGTTCTTTAATGTGAGCTACCTTAAAGTGGTCTGATGTTGTACAGAACTCACTGCTGAGTTAAGCATGGTTAGATCATGCAGAGGTAGTACATATTCTTTAATGTGGGCTACCTTGAAGTGATCTGATGTTGTACAGAACTCACTGCTGAGTTAAGCATGGTTAGATCATACAGAGATAGTACATATTCTTTAATGTGAGCTACCTTAAAGTGGTCTGATGCTGTACAGAACTCACTGCTGAGTTAAGCACAGTTAGATCATTCAGAGGTAGTACATGTTCTTTAATGTGGGCTACCTTAAAGTGATTTGATGCTCTACAGAACTCACTGCTGAGTTAAGCATGGTTAGATCATGCAGAGGTAGTACATGTTCTTCAATGTGAACTACCTTAAAGTGATCTGATGTTGTACAGAACTCACTGCTGAGTTGAGCATGGTTAGATCATGCAGAGGTAGTACATGTTCTTGAATGTGAGCTACCCTAAAGTGATCTGATGTTTTGCTTTTCAATATGGTGTGACCGTTTAACCAGCCGTCCACTAGCAAAACAAAACACTTGAAATACTCTCAAGTGAAATAGCGTGGCAGTGTAAACACATGCTTTATATAACAGCCATAAATGTCAAACAAAAGGCCTCTTTCAAACTTGTTTATCAAAGTTTTCTTTAGTTCAAGTAGAAGACGTTTTAGAAACAAATATAGACAAACCTAAGCAATATCAGGCAAATTCCAGTTTCTTAATTTGTCGAACGTGCATGCTCAAACACATGCTTGATTTAGTGTAAAATATCATGAAGGAAATCGTTGATTGCGCACTTGGTTGTGTTGGGATGCCAGGGATTCCGCTTGCAATTTATGATCCCCTTGCCCAGTTTGTGGCGAACACATTGAATATATAAACTGGAAATTTTATTCTAATTTTATCGTCCAGTAATGTTGATAAGAGACTTCACTGTTTATTGACTCTTGCCCCAATAACCTCGTTTTCACGTTGGGTTATTTTCACATGTTTTGTGTAGTTAAGTGGATATGTTTATGATTGGGCTCAAGATCAAAGGGAAACACATTCGTACACGAAACATGAAGATATCACGTGCGCCTGTTATGCTAACATGGAAACGAGGTTATTGACGCAAAATTGGAATAAGCATGAAAGTCTGTTGGAAAAAAAATTGAATATATCTAAAAATTGAAGCTGTTCAAGCAGCCCCATAATTAAAATCTTCATGAAGTTTTAGACTATGTGAAATTATCATAATTGTTCCGTTTTGTTGAAAACATCACGTTGAGGTATTTGGCAAAGATTTCGATTCGTATATGCACGGATCAGTGCAAACAATATAAGCAAATAATATATTGCAAGAAATATCGTAAGACTATTATATTATCTTCACTGATAGGAATCAAGGGCTTATGGGTCGTGGCTTATGTTACGTCAGATAGAAATAGATAGAAATTTTATTTATACACGCTGCATGACCCCGTCAACCGAAGCTGATTTCCACGAGGGGGTGTGCCAAAAAAACAAATAATTGTTTTACAAGAAAGTGATATTTTGAGCTGTGCAAAATATACAAGTGTTAAAAGATCTAAGAGTATTGAGGACAGTAAATAAGAAATCATGCAATACGATATTTCACAACAACAAATCAATTCCGTACCAAATACTTATGATAATTCTCATAGTTGGCAGGTAAAAGTTCTTTCTCAGTAACCCAACCTTTGGTAACCTTCAAAGTATCGCAAGCTTTGAATGACGTGCAATCTGAAGCACTGGTTATATTAAACTCCGTACATGGTCTGTTTCTACCTCTCACTATGTTGTATAGAAATACCATGTATAGCATTATTGAAAACAAACAAGGTTAATGACATGATAGCATCCTTAAACATTAAAATCAAAGAGTCATTACTTGGCTCAAGTTTCTAATATTAGGCAGCGCGTGAGAAATAAATATATTTAACATATTCTCGGGAGGTGGATAATGCTTTTCATACAATTTGATTGGTTGCTCATTCCGGATATCCGTACAGTATTTACCTCCAGACAAAATACAGACGAGCACATTTTTGTACTAAACGAGCTCCGTTTTTTCACCAAACACGAAGAAAACCTGAACGTTTTGTTTAACAGTTTGTAGAGGTATGATGCTTGTGATGTTACTCTGAGTGTATATCCACACCGGGCGAGCTTGAAAAATATGCCTGATCATGGTGGGAATCGAACCTACGACCTTTGGAATACTAGCCCAATGCTCTGCCAACTGAGCTTACGCGATCAGGGCGGTTCGAGTATGTTTTGTTTACAACTATTAGGCAAACTGAAATACACTAATTAACCTTTTCCCAAAAGAGATCTCAGGGCATTCTGGGATCGTTTGGAGGGACAAAATATATGGTGACAGGCGTCAAATATGTGAAAGAGTAGAAGTATCTACTATCAAATATCAACTTTTTAGACGACCAAAAATGAAATATCTCCTTTTTACATTAAACATTTAATTTAAATGTGTACTGCCATATTTCTTGTCCTTCCAAAAAGGGATTCGCGCGACTTGACCCAGGACTTTGGGAAGTGGCTAATTGTTTCAAAAATATTTTCGTTGTCTTTTGCTCATTTTGTTTTTGTTTCAAAGTGAATATCCTTGCACTGTTCACAGCCATTTCAGTGAATAATTCAGTTAAATAATCTTTCCAAAGAACGATTGACAGAGAGACTTACTTTGATTGATTTATACTGGATAGCTCTATCAGTTCTAAAATGTTGTTTCCAAAGGGACAGTGTTACTACGGTAAAGATAAACTCACGTTTACGCGTTTATCTCGCGGATCATCCACGTTCAACTCGCGGATCGTCCACGTTCAACTCGCGGGTCGTCCACGTTCAACTCGCGGGTTATCCACGTTCAACTCGCGGGTTATCCACGTTCAACTCGCGGGTCATCCACGTTTAACGCGCGGGTCATCCACGTTTAACGCGCGGGTCATCCACTTTTAACGCGCGGGTCATCCACGTTCAATTCGCGAGTCGTCCGCATTCACCTCGCGAATCATCCACGTTCAATTTTCGGGTCAACTGCAGTGAAGTAAAATCTAAATTCAACTTTTTATCGCCAGACTAGAGCAAATGTTAACGACGTTACACATTTTGACTGGTAAACGTTGTGACACTTTGGTTACATGCTATGTTAAGTTAAACCTTCAAGATTTTGTTGGCATCTCACTCGATTGAATATTACTTGAGGGTCTTGTAGATGGAAATTATCGAGTGGAAATTTATATACATTTATTAAACCTAACCAGGAACAGAAGCGAAAAATGCAACTTTTTTAGGTCCCTGGCAGGATTCGAACCTGCGGCCCTTGTTAGGTGCATAGATATCTTATATACACTAGATAGCGCATCTCTTTTAGTAAAATTGAAGCCAAGAATATTCCAGCGGTTACCCCCATTTGAATAGATGGCGGCCATGTTGGTCGTTCCCACTTGCTAAAGCCTAGTTTCCATTTGGTCGTTAGTTGTCGCTGGCACGACATGTGGCAGATGTAATAGAGTGTCAACAAAAAACTCTGCAATCATCAAGACTGATTTGCATATCACACAAAAAGACTATTATTATAGCAGACTATTTCACATCTACCGCTTGTCGTGCCAGCGACAACTAACGACCAAATGGAAACTAGGCTTAATAAACGCTTAAAAACAACAGTAATTTTCATCATTTGAATAGTTTAAAAATGCATTTGGAATAGGGTTAACTTAATGTTTAAGTTCCCTGTTTAAGAAATAGAAAACATACGAATCTTCTCATTTCATGGGAACGACCTGAGACTGCAATCACGGCTTCAATTTTTGAATTGCAGAATAACTAGATGCACTATCTAGTGTATATAAGATATCTATGGTTAGGTGTAATAAATGTATGATTGACCACCACGTAATGAAACTGTTCATATGACTCTTAGATCCAGTCATAGTTTTAACGTTGCATTTCAGACTAACTAAAAATAGCTTTATTATATATAATGCATTAAATTATTCATCATAACATTATTAGAACATTCTAACATTCTTAGATCCTTTTAGAGACATTTAGTTATATAGTATTTTAATATTTTCTTAACTTGTAAATATAAACGTAATTCAGCCTATTGGCTGCAATGTTTATATGTAATAAACCATCTATCTATCTATCTATATATTCATCTATACTGTGCGATAGAGCACATTTTAATTTTATAATGTATTCGTTGTTCTTTGTAGATGTAATGTAAAGTTTAGGGAATTGTCATAGTATAGGGTTAACCTCACGATTTCCTGTTCAAGATTTTTGTAATGTTATCTTGAATAAATTATGTATGTATGTATGTATGTATGATAAATTTCTACTCGATAATTTCCATCTATACCCCTCAACCCATGCTAAACCTTGGATGCGAGAACGTTATTTGAATTAATACGGTATGTTTCACTTTATCATATTGAAATAAGTTTCTTGCATACAAAACTGCAAGGTGTAATAACATGGCAAGGAATCAAACGCTACAAATTTGGAACATTTTCCACGCCTTAAAATCGTGTACATATGATTTCTTTTTTCTAATTTGCCAGCTTTCAACAATCAAATGCAAGAATTAAACTGATGTTTAGAAACTCGAAGATCAGAAAATAGCAATGGATAAAACAGTAAGTTTATTCATTCATAGATTATTTACCTCAAATATGATGCGTCAAGATCAGGAAATTGATAAGAGTCCAGTGCTCTACTGTTACGATGAAGTCAGCAGTTAAAGAGTTTGCTTGAGTCATGAATCACGGTCCAAGTGTTACGACTCAGCATTGACGTCACGCGCACGAAATGTAGTCGTGCGTCAGCGATATTAGTAAAGCTGTAAAGGCGTAATAAAGAATGATATTCATGTAATAATTAACAAATAGATAAGATTTTGCCGCTGTCTGTTCAGTTACAGATACCCAGTATGACGTCATAATGTGAGCAGAACAAAAAAGTGGCTGACGAGTCACCGAGGCGAGTTGAGACATTTCTCATAGAGTCATCATCCTGTAGAAATAAAGGAAGCTTAATTTGGCTTATGCTTGCATCGCAGTGAGGACAAGGCATTCGATTTAAGCCAGCATTACATAACTGTTTTACCCCCACTGAGAAAAATTATTGTAAAGTGCTACCAAAAATCTAAGAGTCTCATACCTACCCCCTCCCTGTAAGTCTCAAACGACAGAAGCGGATTTATATAACAATAAACATAAGAATGCAAGTGCCCTCGACCTTTGCTCTCGAACCTTTCATGAGAAATGCGTGGTTGACGATACTGTTCTTCTTTTGAAAGAAAAATATCAGTCTTTGTTGTGTCATTACATGTGTTTGTGTATAGCAAGATATTGGCTTTGTTTCAGCTTTTCAAATTTCCTTAATTTAGTTCTAAAGTGTTCATGCAATCATGAAACAATCCAATACAACACTTCTCTAAAACCTACTCTAAAAATCGTAACATCTTTTGTGGTCTATTTCGTAATCTGCTTCTGCTATAGAATATATAATATGTTATACTTGCCATAATTTATACATTTCATACGATTTGTTCACTGTTACTACAGGAAAAAACCTAAACTTAACTAATTTTATTTATACTGGATAGCTCTATCAGTTCTAAACTGTTCTTCCTAGAGGTCCAGTAAGAACCATCTCTTCATTGATCCAGTGTTACTACAGGAAGAAACCTAAACTAAACTAACTTTATTTATACTGGATAGCTCTATCAGTTCCAAACTGTTCTTCCTAGAGTTCCAGTAAGGGTCATCTCTTATTGTTCCAGTGTTACTACAGGAGGAAACTAAACTAAACAAACTTTATTTATTTATTTACTGGATAGTTCTAAACTGTTTTCCCTATGGAGATCCAGCAAGTATGTATTCTATTGTTCTCGAACAATCTAAAACAAATTAATTACATAATAGAGCAATAATTAAAATCGAGTACTCATAATTAGTTATTACTATATACATTCCATAAACAAATAATATACACAAAATTGGGTGGATTCCAGACCTCCCCTGAAGAAAACCATTATGTTAAAATGGCTCTTCACTCAAGTGGTTAATTAGGGCGTGGGTGAAATGATATCACGTGGTTTGTTTGATAGAAGAGCTTTTTGTGCAATGCCTGGGTAGAATGTTTATAGGGTGTGACCTATACTTCGTAAAGAACTTTACTGGAGTCAAGCAGAAGTTATTTTTACTAGTTATTTTTATCAACTGTAAACCAAATGGCCTATTCCTTGTTTGTGCAGTATTGGCGCAGTGGTACTACAGGTGGAAACCTAAACTACTTTAATTATACTGGATAGTTTTATCTGGTAAAGACTGTTCTCAAAAGAGATCCAATAAGGCCATCCTTTAAATAATCTAGTAGTAATATATGGAGGAAGAAATCCAAATAAAATAACTTTATTTAACAGCTCAGTTCTAAACTTCTCTCTAGAGGTCCAGTAAGTTCCATCTCGTATTGATCCAGTGTAGTAACAGGAGGAAACCTAAACTAAACTAGCTTTATTTATACTGGATATCTTTATCAGTTCTAAACTGTTCTTCCTAGAGGTCCAGTAAGGCTCATCTCTTATTGATCCAGTGTTACTGCAGGAGGAAACTTAAACTAAACTAACTTTATTTATACTGGATATCTTTATCAGTTCTAAACTGTTCTTCCTAGAAGTCCAGTAAGTTCCATCTCTTATTGATCCAGTGTTACTACAGGAGGAAACCTAAACTAAACTAACTTTATTTATACTGGATAGCTCTATCAGTTCTAAACTGTTCTTCCTAGAAGTCCAGTAAGGATCATCTTTTATTATACTAGCCTATACAGTTGGAAACCTAAACTAAACTAACTTTATTTATACTGGATAGTTCTATCAGTCCTGAACTTTTCTTCCTAGAGGTCCAGTAAGGATCATCCCTTACTGGTTCAGTTAAACCACAAGAGGAACTAGAATACTCGGAAACCTGTGGTGTCTGCTGGAGTCAAGCCTGAAGCACTCTTCTCACGCGCGACTGAGGCATAATTTTAATGAACTTCGCCAATTTGACAAAGTTGATGTTTTCGAAAAGAACAATTAAGCTTTAACTTGCTGTATCGAGATTTCTGAAGGGTTAACCAATATATCTCAATACTGGTTCACATACCATAAATTCATGTGGTTATTTTGGGTTAAGTGCTGGTTGAAGTTCATGTCCTTGAGATGTAGAGTTATGCATTGTTTTTGTAAACGCTGTTTTTTTAATGGAATTAATTGTTTGGGAGGATTTTGTTCTGTAGTTGTACTGAACTGATAAGTTTTTAATATCCTTGCTGTCCTTACTGGAGAACAATTTATAACTGATAAAGTTATCCAGTTACCCAGTATTAAATGAAGTTATAGTGTTGTCTAATTTAGGTTTTAATGACATTGAAGCAAATTGCAAGACTTTTAGGTTTAAAATTAAAACAGAAATATGGTAAAGGAATTTTTCTGAATAAACAATAAACATTGGAAAATATGTTGTATGTTTTGCACGATAAGATAATTCATTTCAATGGTTTCTTTGATGGAAGAAAATTTATAGCTATTCAAACTGTTAATCAATATTTTAATGATGGGGGAAATGCTGTTAAAAGCAATTGATTATGTTGTAAAAACAATATGAAAGCATAAACAACGGAAATGTGAAATAATTATAGTTGACGTTTTGCTTAAACCGTTTGTTGAAACGCTCTGGTATACGTCTACCTGCTCCGTACAAATTCTCACGATTAAAATTTAATGGAATATATATTTGTTTTGGTTGACAGGGTGGGTTAGGATAAACACATTTAAGAAAGTAATATCACAATTGCTTTATAAATTATGTGGCAGCTTACCTACCACACTGAACTAAACTAACTTTATTGATATACTGGATAGCTTTATCAGTTCTAAACTGTTCTTCCTAGAGGTCCAGTAACTTCATTTATACTGAATAGCTCTATCAGTTCTAAACTGTTCTCCCTAGAGGTCCAGAAAGGATCATCTCTTATTGATCCAGTGTTACTACAGGAGGAAACCTAAACTAAACTAACTTTATTTATACCGGATAGCTCTATCAGTTCTAAACTGTTCTTCCTAGAGGTCCAGTAAGGATCATCTCTTATTGATCTAGTATTACTACAGGAGGAAACCTAAACTAAACTAATTTTATTTATACTGAATAGCTCTATCATTTCGAAACTGTTCTTCCTAGAGGTCCAGTAAGGATCATCTCTTATTGATCCAGTGTTACTACAGGAGGAAACCTAAACTAAACTAACTTTATTTATACTGGATAGCTCTATCAGTTCTAAACTGTTTTTTCCTAGAGGTCCAGCAAGGATCATCTCTTATTGTTCCAGTGTTAATACAGGAGGAAACCTAAACTAAACTAACTTTATTTATAATAAATAGCTCTATCAGTTCTAAACGAGTGTTTTCCCTGGACTGCTTGCATTTCATGTACAAGGATTTGTTGTGATATTGCACGTTCTGTCGGTCTGCTCACAACACTTTACCACTTCCTTAAAAATATTCCTAACCTCTTTTTAACAGAACAGTTCGTATAGGTTGAACCTTTGTTTAATAACATTCCTTCGATATTACATCAATATCAGATAAAAATTTGCCGCAAAATCACAGACAACATTATAGGACGATATCGTATTGCTTTAGGGCAGCAAAAACTATTGTACGACTACAATGTATGTAACTATATATATCCTTGAAACAAACATGATATAATTTTCATTGTCTAAACATATAATTATGTCATCGTTCATTCGGTATGCACTTAAGAAATGTGCAATTTGAGGCAAGAACTACTCAACATCGGATGTGTTTGATGTACAATATAAATCATATTTTTAAACAATCCTCAGTATTTTATTGCCAGTTTAAGAGTAACTTATCTTTGTATTTGCTTTACAGTCAAATTGTTACTACAACAAACGGAAGACGCTTTCATAAACAAATCGTAAAATGAGAATGATTTATTACATGTACTGTACACGTGATTTTGATTAACATATTCAATGTTCCTCCTAATTTTAACAAGCAAACCAAAATAATACGTGGATGTGAAAAGTAGCATAGACATAAAAAACGACAGAATCGGTCAACTGATTGTAATCTTTGAGATATCTGCATTGTTGACCTTTTTACAAATTTCCCTTATAATATATCGCTTTTATATTCAATGTTCCTCCTAATTTTAACAAGCAAACCAAAATTATACGTGGATGTGAAAAGTAGCATAGACATAAAAAACGACAGAATCGGTCAACTGATTGTAATCTTTGACATATCTGCATTGTTGACCTTTTTACAAATTTCCCTTATTATATAATAAATTGCTTGTACAAGATATGTTGCTCTTTTAAACCCTTTTTACTCAATCTTCATTTGTGTCATGGTGAATTGCCAAAATGTTTCTGAAGGTTGTTATGGTGTTCACCACACTTGTCTTTCAAGCTGGTTCAATCCTTGCTCGGACCTCCACTCAAGGTCTTAAAATAATTGAGGGGAAAGAGCTATCTTTCATTGACATCAGTGAACGGTTAGACTTTCACGTCTTCTCGGATAAGGACGTTAAAATCATAGGTATCTCGGATCGGATTCCATATCAATTGGGCATAGCTAGCCTGTTGCATGGGAATCCGCTCACCAATGAATGAGAAATTCAATAAACTCAAACTAAACTGGTTTGAAAATTTCGAGCTACAATCTTTGACATATCTCCATGGTTGACCTCATAACAAATTGCCTGTTACAAGATATGATCTTCATTTTAAACCCTCTTTACTCAATGTTCATGTGAAATCAAATACGTGTGACATCAAATACCGGAAAACAGATAATCTCTTTCATAGTAATTGATCTTTGGAAAAATCTCCCTGATCAGCTGAAGGATCTAAATATATTTTCCTTTTCCAAAAAGTTGAAACGTTATTTACTGACACAACAATATCTTGCAAGAAATAATTTATTCTATTTAATCATGATATACCTAAGTATAATATAAATAATAAATCTTCCTTGTGGAACCTAATATATTAGAATAGTGTGATTTTTCTTTCTTTTGGATTTTCTTACCTCTTTTTCTAAATAAAAAATTAACAGTAACTGGAGGCTAACTCGAAAACTTCACAGTTTATTTAGCCTTCAGGCTCTAAAATTATAATTATAATATATTTATTTAAATTAAAAAATGTAACCTTTATAATTGTATATGTATTTATAATCTATTTTTTCATGTAAAATTATTGAGCAAAATAAACTTCACTTGACTTAACACCTCAAACGTTTCTTACAAATCCTTCAAAACCTAGAATTTACCAATGCAAAATTCCTATTGATTGTGATCACAGAAACTTTGATAGTGTAAACCAGACATTAAATGACTACCAGCAAAATCCCTAATATTAAATCCAAGTTAATCATTGATAAATAACTGAACTATGTTGTTCATCCTTTCTATAGGAAGTACAAGAAAACATCGCGGAACCTTGCAACAACTACTGCTATGGGTGAGTTAGGGGAGGGGGTATTGGGAATATACATATGACCAGTGGGGGGGGGGTGTTCGTTCCAACCACCCCCACCCCCTCACCCTCCACATGCACATAGATATCGAATGGATATAGATTGCATGTACACTCTTATTTCTTACTCTATAAAAAAAATGGCTTCAAGATTGGTTTAGAAACAAATTTGGCATAGAGTTAGGTTAGGTTAAGGTAAGGGTTAGGGTTAGAGTTGGTGTTTGGAGTAGGGTTAGTGTTAGTAAAATCGTTGCTTTGTTACGTTTTGTCACTCTGAGGCCAGCGAAATAATCTCTTCCATCTCGGAATAGTACGGCATCTTGACTCGTCCCAGACTCATAAAACAAACGTTTAATTCCAAGGTGTTTATATACTTGGTAAAAACAGAACCGTTTTTTTAAGACAAACTTTATATGTTTTGACTTGGTTGTTTCCTGAAAGCAACACCCTTTTCGATATTGTCATAGTAATTCAATCACACTCAAAAGAATCCATTAAAGTAATTGTTCTACTGCTAATAAAAAATTAATGGCGAAAACAAGTTCGTCAACGACAGAACATAAATCAATTGATGTCAATTGGCTTATCTTTACTGAATCAGCTGATCACACTTTACGCTAGGAAAATTGGTTAAAATTTCCTTGCCCTTGACATATAAATTCCTTCACCTTCTACGGCACAATAATATATTTACAAAATAGCGGTTACTGCAGGTTGCTTTCGTAGATCGCTTCATTCACACGCGAGAAGAATGGTTTTCGATCAAGGAGAGATAGGCCTTAATGGACCTCTAGGAAGAACAATTGAGAACTTTAAAAGCCCATATATATATACACACGGGCAATTTTTCCTTTGCAGCTTTTCCTTGAAAAGTTTTATTTGCTCGTGTGTAGGGCAAAAAATGACAATTGTTCCTTGCCAACGAGCTTTGTTCCAAGAATTGTCATGGCAGCTATCGGACAAGGAAAATTTGTCCGTGTGTACGGCTGCCAAGGAAAACAAGTACAAGAAATATTTCTACGGTTTTGGCAAACAAATGGGGGCGTTGACGTGAGATAAATGTTTAACTCAACATTCCCTGCACACGAGCAAGGGAAATTTGTCAAGGGAAACTTGTCAACGAAGACTTGTTGAGCGTACATACGGGAAGCTAAACTTGTCAAGGAAAACTCGTCTGTGACCGGCCTTATCAAATAGAGCTATTCAGTATAAAGTTGGTTTATTGCAGTTATGTTATGGTTATAAAGAGGGAACCCGCCTTATACTTACATTTCCATGTAAAGATTGCTCAGTTCCCGTATACACCATAATAACCAATCACATCCTCATTTCCCACAGAATAAAAAATACACAACAAACATCCCAGACTGATTTGGCAAATGTACGTTTTGGGAGGAGAATTTTAGTCTCTATTTCCGCGTCAAATATTAATTTATGATCGTAACTGTAAGATGAGAAGCCATTACGGTATGACAAAGTGAGAAATATAGTTTCCTTTGCCTTTCGAGTTTTGTAATTCATTTTTACCATATATGTCGAAATGTAGAGCTAAATGGACATGTTTACGAAGTTTGAACGGTGTTGACTTTGTATAATGGGTCATAAAGTTACCATTAACCCCCAGTATGCCCTTGAACACTCCTCGCGTCGTGAGAGCAAAAGACATGCATGCAGAATGACATGATTTGTACAATAATGTAATGCTCAGGATGCATGTAATTCCATTAAAATCAACAGTTTTCGTATTTCATTTTAACCTAAGCAGGAAATCATGTTCTATTCATTGCTTAGCTGTAACGTGTCATCTTTATTTATGACACTAAAGATTATTTGTTTGATCTATAATTACCATGATCAAGAGGAACTAACCTTGTAAAACCTTCATGATCTAGTTATTGAATCTGAATATATCAAACCATGTTGCGGGATGTGTTTTCAAATAAAACTATCATATAGATAATCATGTGAAAATACAACGTACTGTGACGTCGGTGATGTCATGATCAGGACATGGATAAAACACTTCGGTGCTCGTGAAGACAGTCAATCAACGCTTTACCAAATTCATGCTCTTTCCCCGGGTACTTCCGTTTGAAAATCCTTGATAGGCATAGACAGAGCTGAAAATGTCCATGTTTTCTAGACTGGTGTTTTTCCTCGTAATGGGTCCGCCCTACGAAATCTTCGCCTGAAAGTATGAAAGTATTTCTATCACAGAAAGATACGTTACATATCAGTGAATTTCATAAATTTTGCAAACACGTTCTCTGACTGATGATTATATTCATTAAACGAGCTTTCGATCACCTTACTGTGGTCTTCGGGTCGCTCAGTTGTCAGAGCAAGAGTCTTTCACGTCTAAGTTCGTGGGTTGGATTCTCGCTACGGACTCATGTGAAAAGAATCAGTGAAAGAAAGAAAGTCGTGGGTTTTCTCCGAGTGCTCCGGTTTCCTCCCACAGGGAATGTTGACAGGGTGGGTTAGGATAAACATAGTTAAGAAAGTAATACTGATCACAATTGTTGTAAAGATAAATAGTCTAGGCTAAGTAAGTCGCATAAGTAAGCGTAATACTTGATGTAATCGTTCACTGAAAAGCCCCAATGGGGAATGAGCTGAGTAATAATATAATGTCTTCAACATGCAGGTACAAAAATATCCTGTGCAACACCACGAAAGCTCTTTTAGTAAACTAATCATGCGATGACGAGTACAATTATAGGGATTAATAGTACTCGTGATGTTTGGAAATTTTGCCAAAATTGGACGGGCCGCTGGGGCGAGCCCAATTTGGCACAATTTCCAAACATCACGAGTATGTCTTAATTGTCCGAGTATGCAACATCGCATGATTACTTGTTTATTATTAGCATGACAAAATTAGATAATTCTCAATGTCAACATCATATTCTCTTACCAAAGCCCAGTCTTGCCAGACTTTCAACCAAAATTTAGTGCTTTTGTTCGTATATTCATTCAGTTCTTTTGCTTTAAGTTCCTCTAGGGCAATTTCATTTGTGTTTAAATACCTTTCCGCCATTTTGTTTGTTTTGAGAAAATCCATTAATTGTACTGCAGTACAATTAATGAAATAATTATACTCCTCTCAACCAATCAGCATCCAGTAATTTTGTTATGCTAATAGTAAGTATAGGTAATCATGCAGTTAGAGAACGTGTTTACCAAATTTATGATGTCTCAACCTGGTTGCACCCTCTCCATATTTTTTCATATACCAGTGAATCGTCTGTAAAACATTTCGATACTAAAAGTAGTACCTTGCTATGTGACTACTCACCCTCCAGCTATTCAAAAACAGCATTGACACTCGAGGGAAGCTCAGATTGAACCTCCAGTCGTTGAGTGTAAGTGAGCTTTTGGAATACAGGCGTAAGAGTTGAAAATGTTTACCGACCAATTTATATAGGCCGAGATCGTTAAGATATTATATCATAGTATTTATAAACTTATTGCCATAAACCTAAATTCAAATATGGGGACATATTCAGAGTAGAGAGATATGTATATAAAGAATGTATGGATTCAATTTTGGGTCTTCCTAGTTCAATTACAGGATCTTAAAGCCTAGCTGGTTCACATCAGCAATTTTGTCGACGATTTTGTGTTCCTGACGGATGCAAATGAGTGAACTTGCACACAAAAGTATAGGGGCGCTTTTCAAAAGTAAACAAGTCTTTTGCATCTCATTCCTTCAATTACATTTGCCAGGAGAAGAATCGCCAACAGAATGGCTATAGTGTGAACCAGGCCTTAATTGGCTCGCTGAATATGCAAGATTTCGGCTTGAGTCAATTGTATGTTGACAAAACAGTGTTGGGATTTATTGTGGGTGTATATGGTCACAAAAACATTTAAACGTTCTCACCAGGCCCTCTTTACAATTCTTACAACTGAGAATCACTATGTTGATGTGCCCATGATAATAACAAGATTACCAATTGTAACTATGATGCATGGTTTAAATTACCTTAGATCCTTTGAGATAGAATACTAGATAAGGCTGTATCAGCCGCTTAGTCTTTTCTCTGAATGCAATGCTAGATCTGTAATACTGTATTTAAAATTACAATATATTTTATAATCAATTAACTTTATATACTTTCCTTATTTGTAAAAATATTTTCTAAACTTACATACACTATAATATAGCCTATACAGAACACTGCTGCAAGACTTGTAGTCGGAGGGAAAAAATATGATCACGTCATCCCGATATTGAAACAGCTTCATTGGCTGCCTATAAGGGCCAGAATAGATTTTAAGATTCTGCTTATTACTTATAAGGCCCTTAATAACCAAGCACCGGACTATATAACAGAACTTTTAGATATTTATAGGCCTAAGCGTACTTTGAGATCAACATCACAGAATTTATTAGTTGTTCCGAAATCGAACACTAAGACGTATGGTGAGAGAACATTCCAAGTGAGTGCTCCTAAGCTATGGAACTCTCTACCTGATTACATTCGTCTCTCAAGTTCATTAGGTATTTTTAAAGGCTTAGTAAAGACACATCTTTTTAGGAAATACTTTGACTAGATAGCACGTTTTTATATATTTCAGTAATTGCATACATGTAATATAGTATAAATTATGAGACCCGATCCTTGTAAGAGCATCGAGACTCTGTAAGATGCTCCTAAAACTGTATTATTATTATTATTAGCTTGCCTACTCGCAAGTAATGCAACGTATATTTTTCTTTGTAAATTTTTGTAAACATCAAATCATTAACGTTAAACGATGAGTGTTTAAATCTTCCTTAGTAACAGTACAATCGCTCCCTAACAAGACTGTCCTATAGCAGGGCTCGTTCATGTTTTCCTAGAGATATGTAATTACTACCTGTTACTGTTGTTTACAGTGGAAACAGGATAGCATATATTATACATACAGGCATGGTAACTCCATTTCAAACTGGAACAATGTATCTCCTCCCATTTACGGTCATTTAAGGCTGTCAGATCGTTTCAGACATCCGTTTGAAAAGTTCCCTGTTTCCATTTGCCTTTGTAATTACATTTTATGACCTAAATAATTTGTGCTTTAGTGCCTTGTTTTCCATGACCAAGTCTTTGAATATTAAATATGGAAAGAAGTACTTTACCTCGTGCTTTGCATTTTCAGTAGTTCTCCTTAGAGGTCCAGTAAGGATTATCTCTTATTTATCCAGTGTTACTGCAGGAGGAAACCTAAGCTAAACTAACTTTATTTATACTGGATAGCTCTATCAGTTCTAAACTGTTCTTCCTAGAGATCCTGTAAGGATCATCTCTTATTGATCCAGTGTTACTGCAGGAGGAAACCTAAACTAAACAAACTTTATTTATACTGGATAGCTCTATCAGTTCTAATTGTTCCCCTAGAGATCCAGTAAGGATTATCCCTTATTGATCCAGTGTTACTACAGGAGAAAATCTAAAGTAAACTAACTTTATTTATACTGGATAACTCTATCAGTTCTAAACTGTTCTCTCTAGGGGTCCAATAAAGAGACTCTTAATGGTCCAGTGTTTGACTATACAACAGAAAACCTAAACTAAGTTAACTTTATTAATGCCATGAATAGCTTCCCTTATAATGGAGTGCCTGAAAAAAATGTGCAGCTTATCTCACATGTGACTGGCTGAGGTGAATTCATCAATGTAAGTCAGCAATGAGCACATGCATTATATGGGATCGATCAACATCTCTAGGTAACCCAACAAACTATTCAATATTGCATCTCATAACTTTTATATGTAAACATTAAGATCAACTTAAGTTAAGTATCTCACGATAAGATAATCGTTACAGCAGAACATACCATTATAATTACCTCAGAATACACTCACAATATCAAGCTAAAACAACAACTTGTTTTTTCATAAATTGCAAAACGTCCGGTTACAAGTTTTGAACATTGTTTGGATTTAATTGTACAAAAAAACCCAGTTTCTATCAATTAAAATTTAAAATACATACGTCTAGCTTTCATCTTTGTGACTGGGGTTTCAATTCCTGTAATACGCAGTTATATGATTATAATTTCGCAATAGTCGTATGTGAAAAGAAGCCTTCCAGGCTCTACCAAACACCGAAGTGGACCCGAGCAGGGGATGCTTTGCAGCTAGAAAAGGTTGTGTGAGTTTAAGCCTTGAAGCGCTTTTATTTCGGAACAATTGAAATAAATTCTTATTTTTCTTGCCTTCATATAGTTTGGGAAGCCAGATATACCACATCGCAATTTTTTGTAATTAGCAAACAGATGAGAAGTACGTTCAGCCCTGAAGCATTTTTGGCAAGGTAAAAAGTTATACAGTTTTTATGAACCAACACATAATCTCTATTATATAAAACACACGCATTTACTATTGTAGCTTGACAATAAATAGAATTCTTGGCTACAAGATTCTGCAGACATTGCCTGCGAGTTGTAATAGATTATTGGTCTTTAAAAAGATCGAGGGATATTTAAAGAACCGCGCCTCTTCGGCATGTTTGTCTTCGCTCGAGTGGAAAATTCGCTTGTTGTTAAAAATAATCTGCATGCAAGTCAACAGGATTAATCTTGAGATTTAATCCTTTATATAGAGCACGATATGTTCTGTTTTAAAAAAAAATGCACAATTTGAATTGAAAATGTGTCTTGGAGATGGTTTTGACCATTTCTGTTCCTTTCCTGGGCTCCTAATCGTACAGGCGTTGTTCAAGTTAGGAGTTCTTCTACTCTTTCATTGTTTGTGATAATCATTAGGGAAAGCTGACGCACTTCTGAAGTCTTATTCATGCTGTGTGGCCGTATCCTATAGCAAGCCTAGGCGGGAAATTATAATTGACTTGATAGCTCTATATGAAAGACAAGAGAACAATACTCGCAACGTGTGAGCATTTCATAACAAAGAGTTTTGATAAAGATGTGATCAAAATTAAATCAAATCAAAACCTCAACAAACTGTGAATTTGGTATAACAAAACATCAGGGGGCTTTCTCAATCTAACCTAAAATGCCTTGGCCTTCGATCAATACATGAGGATTTGCACTAAACAATGAGTTTATTTTCAATATTTCGTAATTGGCTAAATGATTTCCTGCCAGGAAAATTTCAATTGGTCACTACGCCCCACACAGCTTATACTAATTATGCTGCCTATAAATTACCGTGCGTTTAAAGCATCGTAATACACTCTGCTCAACACGTCCTCGAAGAAAGAGCTAAGAGCAAAAACAGCTTGTATAGAGTGATGACTGTTTTCCCACCGAACAACACAAACGTGGATTTGAGTAGAAGAATAGAAAGCGAGTTTCCTAACACGAGCGTTATTAAAAAGATGAGCGATTGGACTAAAGTTATGACGACGCAAGAGGGACACTACTCGACAACAAAATTGGATCTCAAACAAGAGGAAACAAACACTACTGATTCTCGAGTATCGAATCTACACGATGAAGAAATGAACTCCACTGAATCAGACGTAAAAACCCCAAAACTCGAAGCAACAGCCACAAAAGATAACACTGACGCGGACACAAAACCTTCGCATTCCTATATCGCTCTCATAGCCATGGCTATACTTAGTAAACCTAGCAAGAAAGTCCTACTTGGCGACATCTACAATTACATCTCGGAAAACTTCCCTTACTATCGTAGTAAAGACAAGAGTTGGAGGAACAGCATCAGGCATAATCTCTCGCTCAACGAATGCTTTATCAAGGCAGGACGAAGTGAAAACGGTAAAGGAAACTACTGGGCGATACATCCAGCAAATTTAGAAGACTTCGCCAACGGTGACTTTCGACGAAGACGGGCGAGACGTCGAGTTCGAAAGAGTCATTCAACGTTGTGTACGCGTTATGGAAGCTTACCATTCCAGCAACATGCTTTCTTAAACTACCGTGGGGCAGAGCCTTACCTACAGCCCTACTACCTAACTCCGTTCAATCTTCCCAACTGTGTGAGAAAGAGCAATTTCGGTATTGATAGCTTGCTATCTCCCCGTGTGCCTCTAGCAAGTGGACTCCAGAGCCCCGTAGAGTATGCCGCCTCTGCATCACTTTGCCAATCTGCGCTTCTCCGAGCAGGGTACACGACCGCTCCGCCTTACACTACGACGCCAGTGAATCATTCCCTCTCATACCCCATGGTCTTAGCGTCGAACAATGAAATCCCAACCGAAAGTTGGCATGAGACATGGAAAAAACTGAAAGCGCAATTTCAGAGTCAAACATAGAACATTAATGTTGTACTATTATATATAAGTGGACATATTTATATGGACAAGCTATTATAGGGGATGATATCTCAAACAAGCGAGTCCAGCGTAGGTGGTATTCTAGGATAAGTTGCCGCATGGTTTGGGTCTGAACTACCTGAAAAGGTTAACTTAAGGAGCAATGGCCTCTCACTTCTTTAAACCTAACAAAGTATCGCCGCTCGAAGTGTGTCCTTTTTAGGAAATTCACGCATGCCCAAACCATGGTAACTATATATAGGGAATCGCTCCAGCATAAGTCCAAAAGCCAGTAACATATTTGAAAGAGAAATGCAGTGAATTATAAGGTTGTACAAAATAGCACGTGCTCGTGTTGTGTTGTATCTCCGCGTCGTTTTATTCAGAGAAAAAATGTTAATGTCCCCTTTTCAAAATTACTTGCATCAATTTGAAATCCTTTCATCTGTTTTCCGTAGAAACTAAAGATTCAGTACATTTAAATTCTGTGTAAATTGCTGTAACGCTATATTAATTTCACACTTTCGTACGAGTCATGCCTAATTACGTGCAACTATCTCCGACAACTTATTAAATCTTTGTTGAATGTTGTATATAAACTTCCACTTTTCATTCATATGTTTACTGGCTTTTCAATTCAAAGCTGTAAGGCATTTAGGGTGTTTAATCTTCGCTTGAGTTTACAATATTTAAGAGTAGCATTACTTTCAAGCTGCAGGACTTGAATGAAATATATTACATACAGGGGCTAACTTGAAAAGGAATGACTTACTTTTCAATCTGTTTGTATCGAAAAATAAGTAAACATATAGATTGCAATCTGTATAGTACAAACATTAAGTTGAAGTAGATTAATCCTACCCCCGTCACATATTTATTTAGCTTAGTGTCAAATTAGTCTTAAATAAATGGAATTATTCTGCGCAAAAGCATCTGGACACGCGACTACAGAGAAATTATATGGAAAAAATGTATTAAAAATTGGAATTGAATTATTTGTAAATAGAGTATATCGTATATTTGAGTTATATTTCTGAGATATCTAAATGTAATTAGTATATAGCAAGTCAACACAATATGTTTGTTCAAAAACTTAACATAAATAAACATAGATTATTCAAGAGTGACCACCTTGTTTGCAGATAAATTTGTACACCTAATTGAAGAGTCTTATAAATAATCTAGAAGCGTACCGCAGCACACACTAGCCTTTGTCATGCTGGGATTTTAATTTGAGTTATATTTTCCGTTTTTAAACAAATTTGAAAACCGCAAACAAGCTTATGTCATGGTTAGATCGTCAGGGTCAGTCATGAAAGGGATTTTAAATACGCTTGATAATATTCCGTGCTGCTGCAAGCTTGTCCCCAGCTTGATAAAGTTTGTGAATGTCAGATAGGTTTAAAGCGAGCATATAGTTTGAAAATATTGGATTCCCTAATCTTATAGTCTTTCTTTGTAATGAAGGGTTATTTACACATAATTATCAGCTGCCTTGTAGTTGTCGTTTCAATTTTAAATTGCTTCCTGAGTGTTTTGAAAATGACATCTTTAATCCCACTGCTGGGGTAGCGTTTTACGACCTAGCGCAAAATGCTATTTCTTGCACGAAAGGCAAATTATACCTCGTCTATAGTTGTACCGTTTTTAAAAAGGTGTCAAGTTTTAGTGAAATTTAAATTATCTATATTTGTGTAACAATAATTGTTCAAAGTGATGTATGTTTAAAGACGATATTAAATGAATCACACTGTAATTATATTTCGTTTTAAATTAAGGTTTCGTTTTACTTTAAATGTACAACAGCCTTGTAATAATCGTTGCAATATCGAGTTTTTGTTTATGTTTTGAAAAGATATTCGTTTTTGGACTCAATATAGACAATATATTATCGAGTAAGTTGTTTGCTAGCTTACATTCTGATTCAATAAACGTGTTTTAAAGCATTTATTTAAAACAGAGGAAAATAGAAGATAAGTAACAACAGAAGAATAAGGAACATGGATCTATTAAACGATTCAGCTGCAATTTCAAACCAAATACACGGAAAGCCATCATAATTATAAAATAATGATCACATAGAAGCATAGTGGCAAATATATTATTTGAAAACAATCAATGAATGAAGATTGCTTTTATAAGTGAGTTTCGCTAAGAATAAAATTGCATCTGCAAACAGTCGTAGCATTATAGGTAGGTTTCATTGTATCGGAGTAGCGGCTACATGCGTTGTACGTATCAGCATCAGAAAGTGAGGAAATATAATCACTCATTTCATGATATGTAGTAGTCTTGTATTGGGTGCAAGCTAGTATATATCTTGTTCCTAGTAATGCCAACGTTTCTGGTGTTACCACAATCTACATTCATTGAAACGTATAAATATAAATGAAGAAATAAAAATTGCATGTGTATATATGCGTGCAGGAGAAATGCGGCAATATATGTCTGGACAGGAAGGCTCAATGTAGCTAATTTTACTAACTAGATTTAAACCACAGAGGGGAAAGTTTATCTATTTTCAAACTCAATGGTAATAGGCTTAAGCCACTATAATACAGGATTCAACAAGGCACAACAACAACTTAAGTCGCCTTGTAGGCATGTGATGCAGTAATTTGATTCCTAACTCTAAAATTATCAATCTAACCAAGGACTAGATAAGCCAAGTCATATCCTCAGTTTCATTTACATAGAGAGGAAAGAAGAAATTTATATTTTACTTGACCGTACGTATTAAATGATAAAACTCATCAATTATATGATCCAAAAATTAGACATTTGTTTTTAAAGTGTCTATGACATGAAATTTTTTTTGAAAGAAGAAGAGTACTTAGCTCATATATTTCACATGTATTTATTTATATCAATATATTATCTTGCAAGGTCGGATTCTTTCATATATTCTTGTTTTGGTTCGATTATAAGAAAGAATTATAAGAAACGTTGAACCCAACTCCAACTGGCAAACCAAATATCGAACAGTTGTACTCTTCAATTAATTTCTGTAGAGTAAATACAGGATAATATAAAACGTTTTGTGATACAAGAGTGTGGACTATATATAGGACAGCCAACTTTTAACTCTTAGTTTTCAATAATAACATTTTGCAGTTCAATGTTCAAAATGTGGATTATTGTTTTTTCTTGACACCGAAGAAGATTAAGTCAATTTCTTCCAGAATAGAAATGTAAAAAGAATAGAACCAGATAGCTTCAGATTGAGAGGCATTCAACTGCTTGAAAAATACAAGTAAAACGTTGACGTTTCCAGCGAAAGTCTTCCGGCTTCGCTAATAACCTAACGACGAAGGGTTTTTGCTCGAAACGTCGACGTTTTGCTTGTATTTAGTTCAGGTAGTTCAATCCCATTCAATACGAAGCTTTCTCGTGTTATTGTCACTACCTACGCACAGTAGTTCGAGTTTATAAAAAGAATATAATCCTTCTATTATGGACTAGGGGAAATTTTGTTGCTTGGCCTGTCCATGCATGCATTAGAGTTTTGGTCGTGAACGATATATGAGCCTTACTTTATTTAAGAAACATGTCAAAACTTAACAACCTCCACTTTATGTGCAAAGTGAAGAAGAATATTTAGTACTTTGCTGTTACAACTAATAGCTGTTTCTTGCTTTGTCAATGACTCTCGTCGTTAACAATATTGTATTCACGCTAATTTCAATAAACCACTGATGGCGATCAACCTTCGTGATTTAGTGTAAAAATCGAGGAACATATTGTGTACTTCGTGTGTTATATTTCTGTTAGAAATCAGGAAAGCTTCTTGTAACTTTATGCATGGTTTCAGAATATACTTTGGATCTTTTCTTTGAGAAATATGGAAACAAACACCGCCCATCTCGACTTAGTAAGATTTCGTATATAAGAATTCACCGCAAATATCGTTAACCAAGTATGGGATCTTTTCTACACTTTTCTACAAACGTCATTTTGATATTCATCTCATATAGATTCTAATGTGTACATAAATAGTCGTATCGATCCATGCTTTGTGTACTTACAAGTTCTACTTATATAATCATATACACATATACATGCCAAACATAGAATTGTGATATTGATAGCTTGTTGAAAACTGCAATTCAAAGATGATATATTAAGCTACTGTTGTGATTTGATAAGTGAGTTTATAAGTTGGATAACTCTATCAGTTATAAACTGTTCTTCCTATAGAACTCCAGTAGTGGCGTCTCTTGTTAATTCAGTGTAATAGTGAAGGGAATGACTGAGAGAAAGTTGTGATGTTTGGTAGTCAGGGTTTACTCGAGTCAAACTGGAAGCACTCTTCTCACTTCTGAGACGAAATTAGACAGGTGCGATTCGTGGGCAGATGAGAAGCGAAGGTTACGGCTACAAGGAAGGTCAAGATGATTGTGGAGCAATTACTATGGGAAGAATCATTAATCTTAAATACGAGTTTTGTCTGCCATTCAGACGCCTAGCATTTAACCTGGGCTAACTTGGTTTCTTTTGATTAGAATTATTGCATTTCTATTAGTATTGCCCGCAGTTTGAACTCTGAATAGCCGTCCATATGCCTGAGGTTTATTGATGCGATTAAACGAATGTATCTGTATAGATGGATTGGTGTTTTCAATGAAAAACATATTTATGCATGTAAAGATTTTTTACTTGTATTAAACTAGAAAGACACTATGTATATTTCTTTGATATACTGTGAAAATATAGATTGTATCAATATAAGTGTGTTTCGGTTCACGAAATCTCTGCATGAGTGTAATGTTCACCGACATTGAGAAGAAGCACAGGTGCGCCTAGCTCAAAACCCGATCACCATACACTTTCTCACGCTCCGGTCGCCCGCCATTTTTGTGGTTCTGCCTCTCCACAGTTTGAGAGTGTCAGGAAATGTGATTTTTTATCAGTTGCGTGTATGATGGTAAATTTAAAGTTACAACATTGAAAAGTCCCTTTTCACATTGCCAATGTGGCTTAGATTGTGTACATTATCTGACGTGGAAAGGCAGTACCCCCAAAATGGCGGATTTTTATTGCATGTAATAAATTGTAAAGTTCGTATTTCTTAGAGAAATATTACACATGTAGGATAAGGAAACTCAATCAAAACAAAAATACATTATCACCATGAAAACATAACGATTACTATAACATAATATTACAAGTTTCCAATTAACTATATATGGGTATAATACTTTTCACGCTTAAATGAGATTTTTGTACATTACAACATGAATAAATCTTGCGTATATTTGAGCGTGGTAAATGCATATAATTTTTCTTTAATTTCGATGAAATGCGATGCTTGGCTATTTCCCAATCACTTGAAATATATCACCCAATATATATAATCTACCTGAACATAAATCTCGCAATCCAATTAACTTGTAAAGCATTATAGTGATCAAGGAAGTTTGTATTAGAGAAGAAAGGTTCCGAACTGCAGTAACCATTGAAAGGAACGACTTATGCCAGCATATAGTAATATATTAGTGAACTAATTCAAGTTCTCTTTAAGATACGTTTTGATGCACATGTGCCTTTAATTTATCCAATCCTGGCTTTATCCTATATGCATTCATGATGTATTGCATCTATATAATATAGATATATTCAGCATTTACTGTCAATATTAGTTTTAATGAATCCAAACATTGAAGAGCCGAAATCATTCAGCACTTTTCAAAAAATGTTCTTTATTGGGGGTTTTTTAAATTTTAAAAAAGTTACTACTTTGGGCGGATGCCTATACAATCGTCATGTAGGAAGAATTATGTAAGTGTTTTGACGTTCTTGCATTCCTTGTAAAACTTGCACGATAGACTGTTTAAGTTTCTTACAGATACCATTGCACGAATTTATTGTAATTTAGTGATACTTGTAGCTTTCACCAACTTAAATATTGCATAAATTTAAATATATACAATTTCAAGTTAAATGGACCTATATATATATAAGTAAATAAACGAGTATTCATTATGCCCAAGCCAAGGCACTTTTATAACATACAAAAAAAATTTTTAACAATGCCCCCATTGTATGTACAAAGAAAATGTGTAAAAACGCTATAAATTTTAATAAAACAAATGACATCGATGACACGAGTGTTGACAGCACAAATGACATTGTGGTGACACGAGTAGAATTGGGTTCAAAATCAGTCTTAAGTGTTGGGTATAGTATGCATCATTGCGACAAATTTGCCAACATTGTGACATAATTGCAGGTGAAACACGCGCCTTATGGGTGGATCGTGGTCCCATCTAACACATGACGTCAATAGAATCTTGAAATTCGCTTCAGACACAATTGAGTGTGTAGAACGCACGTCCAAACACTTCATAGAATACGAGTGAATGACGCATGGTTGACATACACCATTAGTGCCAGAATGTTCGTGAGCATAAAAAACATTGTAATGTATATATTATATTTAATGGTAAAATGTATGGTACTCTCCAATGAAATTTCAATTTATTCAATACAATTTTCTATAAGAAATCATACGATTTGGGCGTATATATATGTGTAGGCCCATTTACCCGATACGACTAGTCATTCTGGTGTATGAAAACGACTGCTAACGCCATTATTTCTCTGTCTATGGCGAAATTTGAAATGTGAATCTTTACATTATTTGAGTGCATATACACCAGGATGAGAATTATATACGACGAATTGCACGTGTAGATGGGCGTTATTAGATGTCTAAGGATACATGCTTAATAATATCAGTGAAAGGCACTTTCTTTTTAACTTAATTTATGCCTAACTTGCGCCAAAACGTAGCCGGCTATATGCACTTTTCAAAGCGTATAGAGCCCCTCGTGGTACTTCCAGCTGACAAAGTTAAAGTACATATTGCGCGTCAAGGGCGGGCAAACAGTTTAGTGGATTATGACAACCGGATGCGCCATTATGTATATATGCTGTCTGTCAGTTGAAACATTAAGTGGTATTTCCTTTGTCTATTTGCACGAATTGCTTTTGCGTGGTCTGCGTCATTGGCGCACGGAATTTACGCAATTTTTTGGTGGGAACTTTTGCGCTCAGGATGTGACAATGGTGTAACGAATCTTAGAGGCGTGGTTGCCCCCTCCCAGGTTCCCCTCCTCCCAGGTTCCCCCCCTCCCAGGTCCCCCATACCCCTCCCAGGTTTCCCCCTCCCAGGTTCCCCCCCCCCTCCCAGGTTTCCCCAGGACCAATTTTGTCATTCTTTCAAAGCTCAGGGAAAACTGGGGGGGGACGTAACCTAAGTACAGGCCCGTTTACACTTGCAATTTTTGCTGCGATTTTCGGTGTGATTCTCTCCTTTTGATGGATGTGAAGGAGTGGAAGAGTTACGAATGTTCTGATGAGGGTGCACATACTCAGAACATTCGTAACTCATCTACTCGTTCACATCCATCAGAAGGAGAAAATCACAGCAAACAGGCCTTAACATAAAATATACCAAATCTGTGGCTAATACTGTTGCTTTTCTTGTAAGGTTTCACTGATGTGGAAGGAAAAATGGTAGCCATGATTTTGATTCATGTATACAAGGTTTGATTATTTTATGATCGTAGAGTTCGTTCAGTTCCATTTCTAAAGGCCAATTTATACTACATAACTTTTGCCTAAAACTGTAGCATAATACAACATGCTGACAACTTGAGTTGTACCACACGCACACAAGGACACGTAGATGAGTTGTGTGCTTGATTTACACAGTACAACTCATGTTGTAAGCAGGTTACATGCGACAGTTTTAGGCAAAAAGTTGCGTAGTGTAAATCGACTTCAACGAGAGTTGTGCATAATTAATGAGTCGCCATCTTGTTTTACGAAGGTCAATAGTTTGTGGCGAATTTGGACGACAAATTGCGATAATTTCTGCGACTATCCTTTACAAACAAACTCGCTTTTAATATTTGTTTTCCAAGCCGAATTATTTGAGGGCAATTTTGGTTGAAAGAAGCCTCGCGATATGGGGTCAATTATATATTGGAAACAACAGTGAATTTAATATGCCACAAGAAAAATGCCCCGTTGAGTTGATGGCTACCCTAAACACATACAGAAATAAAATACTAATGGGAATTTTACAAGCTGCATAATAGCCGCGTGTGCATTGCTAAATCAGTGGAATTATTTTCAAAATCCTTACTATGAAAATATGCCAGTCTTGGTTGAAAATATATCATTTTCATAGTAATTGCAATATCCATATTATGTATATAGTATATGGTGTATGGATATACTACTGTCTATTACTGTCTATGGATTTAGTGAATGAATAGACCTTTCCCCTTTTGAGTGAAATTTTGATCTAGACAAGTCTGGACAACAATTTCATCACAGCTTGAAAGAGCATCACAAAATTAGTAATATTCCAAAGTTTCGTTGCGAAATGTTGTAAAATGCGGATAATATAGCCCTGCGAAGTTTGCCGTTTTTCAGTCATTTTACATTACGCACGGCCTGAAATTGATAATCAGATGATCAAACTGATTATTAATTTCCCGTTTGTAATGCAAAATGACTGAAAAACGGCAAACTTCACAAGGCTATATTATCCGCATTTTACAACATTTCGCAACGAAACTTTGGAATATTACTAATTTTGTGATGCTCTTTCAAGCTGTGATGAAATTTTTGTCCACACTTGTCTAGATCAAAATTTCACTCAAAAGGAGAAAGGTCTATTACAAATTCCACACTATGAATTTAGTAATTACAAATTCCATAACATGAATTTCACTATTTTTTCCAGTGAATCAGCTAACTCAAGCTCATTTTCCCTCCTTTTTGTTGAAAATTCTGGGGATGAGGCGGAATTTTGTAAAATATGGAGTTATTTATCCACTACCCAACGCGGAACGAAGAATTTTTTTTCAAAACGTGATGCGGAACACGAAACTTTACGTATTTTTCTGACGCCTATTTTTGGGTGATTTTGCGGAGTCTTCAATTGAAATTCAAGATCCGTCAACTGATTTATTTTCAAAACTTGTCAATCTAAATATTAAAATTTTTCAATCTGATACCGACAAAATTTTTGTCTGTCCAGGCAAGACTGGACGACTTCCAAGCTTTATACACAAATTTGTGGTTTTTGCCTTTCGAGTTCACATGGGAAAGAACAACGAAACCGGACAGATTCGAGAAGAGCCTAGCGCGTGACTTCCTGTATGGACAAATGGAATGGCGAATTTACTT